AGTACGCTGTCGCATTGACCTCCGCTGCGCGCCGGTCGATACTGCCGCTGTACTGTCTTCGTGCATACTTTGAGGTATCTTCGTAATAACCTCATATTACAAAGATGAACAAGTGTGAATTGAAGATTTTTTTTTTTATTTAGATGTAATCACCTCACCCGCTGCAAGACCAAATGGTTTATTCATCTCAAATGTTACTGTTGAAAAATACAACAATACTTTTGACGTTGCTATGTTACCAGAAAATTGTGGATTTGATTTTCCATTAATTGGGATGAAAAATGCGAGTATTATCTCTGGTAGTAGAGATGCTGATAGTGACTATGTTGAGTACTGTACCAGTGCTGCTTGCGGTGATGGTGCTGATATTGTCATTAATAGGGAGCAGTCTGCAACACCACCAGTTGGTGGTACATTCCAGATTGAACTTGGTGGGAAAATTGCAGTAGGTATGTTGAGTAATTATTATTTTCATCTAAGAAAAGTCAATTGAAAACATTCAATGTTATAGTTGTTTAGTTGTTTTTCTACAAGGTTTATCGTTATTTACAGATCTGTGTTCATATTTGTTTCAAAATAGCTGTCTGATTTTTAGGTACACACCTAAAACTATCATGCATAATAAAAATGTCAGCTACTGACTTAAAAGCTACAGAAACAGTGTAAACACTTATAAAATGTTGTAGCAGGTAAAATATAACATAGTTGATATTTTGTATAAAAAATGCATAAATAACATTCATGTTTTGTAATTGATATTGCAGTACCAGCTGATGCTACAGAAAGTGATATGCAAGAAATATTTGACAACAGTTTTGACATTGGTGTGTCTGTGGTAAGAACTGATACATGTGCTGGCTACACTTGGACTATAGAATTCAGCAAAGCTGGTGGAAATCATCCTCCTATGAGTGTAAGTTGACCACTATGTTATGGTATGAATTTGTATGACTTGGGGCATACATCGGTAATGAATATGTCCTAAAAGTTTCATCCCATTTTATCCTGCCAACCTCGTATACTTTTACATTGACTTGACCAGATAAGGGATAATGTTGGAAATTGTTTTAGCTCATGTTTTTTTTTTTGGTGAAAAATTTGTTTATGTATGGTGACTGTTATCTTCAGTTTCCCAATATCAGTGAATATTTTTGTCATATTGATTCACAATAGTTTGTTGATCTGATGAGTCAACCTATTTGAATCTGATCTGAATTTTGGAGTTTATTGTGGTACAATACCTTGTCAAACTTAATATACATTTTTACAAATACAAATATACCTCTTCCACTGTTAAAAGCAGAAGATCCATCAGCTCTTCGGATATTGTTTCTTTGATGTAATCAAACAATTCATTGTTACTTGATACTGCTTAAATTGAAAATAAATGATTCTGGTGTTTTTTAGACCAATAGTCTAGTTTTTTTCTTGTGTGGAAACCCAAGGCACTTTAACTTCATATTATTTACTGAAAAGTGATTTTAATGATGTCAGGAACCTTCCATCCTATTAATTCAACCATTTCTGACCACCTATTTTTGGCCATATTTGTGGTGAACCCTTTTTTGGTGTTGAACCCTAAGGTAGAATTTGAACTTGGGTCTACCAGTGATAGGTCTGATAAAACAAACACATCACTCATGATGATCTGTTCATTTCATTTCATGTTTAATATGTGTAATTGTTTTCTTGTCTGCTCAACATCAAAATGATTGTGGATTTGCTTGAGCAGTGTAATACTTTCTTTACAGAATGGCATCTACTCACAGTGGACTTGCCATATCAGGTAATAAATGTTCATGCAATAGATGGACCTTCTCTTTGACTACACACCATACTCTAATTTGTAGGTTGACAACAGTGGTTTAACTGGCTTGGATGTAGATACTGTAACAGAAACATTGAGTAATGGTGGGTTATACCTGTTTCCAATTCCTGGTGATTATCTGAGAACTCTAGATGAGACTCCTCAAGTAACTGTCAGTGTCAACCAGATTCCTTCTACTTGTACTGGAGATTGTAGTTTTGAATACTTGGCTGACCTTACACCACAAGTGACCGGTATATCTCCAATTTCAGGTATTTTATAAACTTTGTTTAGACATCATAGATGAACAACTATTACTGTATTGTTATCCGCAAGGTTTTTTAACAGCGCCCTCTATCTTAGATAAGATTGAGTATACATTATTTACTTTATTAGCACATACCATTATGTAATTAACAGAGATGTGTCTATGGTCAAAACAAGTCATATTTTAATGATCCAGCATACAATAGATCCAATTGTTTGGTTTATGTGTGCCATCGTCCGAATCGCATGGTCCAGTGTCTTCGACATATAGTCCTCTACACAATACCGTGCGGGATCGCATAGGCTAATTGCATATCTTAAGCAGTGAGATCTGATTGGGCGCTTCTCGAAACAAGCTCAATCAGCATGGACGTACCAAATTATAAAACAAAATTCCACTTCCTGTTTTTGTCGCTATGAAGACATCCTTCCCACACAAAACTGTGTTGATTGCCTGTACCTGATGTGGCTTGAAGGTACCAACACCGAAAACTTTTGCAATTTTATCATCACAAATATCATGATTCATGGGCGCCGCCATTTTGTTTAAAATGAAACGCCAAAGAGGGATTTGTAACAAGCAAACTGATTGGACAATGATGAATATGCCTATTTGATGGTCGGTCTAAGTTTATTCAGCTAAGCCTCTAAAAAGACCTTGGCTAGCGAAGATGTGTGCTTTCTATTATGTATGTATGAACTTTTTTTTGTTCCACCGTTATCTAAAGAACCACTGATCAAATTTTGATGAAGCTTGGTAAATAAATGCTTTGGGCCAATGCCCAGATTTGATTAAATTTTGGTAAAAATCTATGCATATTAATTACCTAATTTGCATGATAAATAGCTAATTTTTAGCTGTTTCATGACTGTTCTACTGATATCTAAAGAACCAGTCATTGGATTTTGATGAAACTTGGTACCGTAAAATTCCTAATTGAGGCCACGGCTTTAATTAAAATTCATTTTTTCAATGGACGAATTCAGATGCGTGAAGTCTTGGTGTGGCTTTAATTAGAACATTCACTTCGGTAAATGTGGGAATTTTTTTCAAAAAACAAAGGCCAGAAGGGTTAATGATATGCTAATGAGATGCACGACACTCATTGCATGTTCGTGACATTGCAACTTTGTTGCGATTCTAAGGCAATTTTGGATTTTTACACACAGACAAACTTGTACACAAACAAAATTTCACACAGTATAACATACTGCACAATAATAGAATAGACTAATTCGTTAGCACCGGTATAAGTCACAAGTGAGAGACAGGCGTCTGACACAGTTGGTTGCGGCATGTTCGACTTCCGGCAGAGTGACTGTACATTCCAAGTTTAATTCAGACATCAGGGAAATTAAAAAAGTCAATCAAAAAAAAAATGTTCGCATGATAAAAAAAAAAAAAATACTCAGTATACTATTTAATGTAATATATATTTATTTTCTTATTTTTTTTGATAACAAAAAGTATATTCTAAAAGAAGTCAAAACAAAAACGAATGCATTCTTAGTAGCAAATGATCACGGTAACGGTCATGCTGCGTTTCACACAAGTGAATAACTTACTTGTTTTTGAAGTTTTACAATTGCTGATTATTACTCAGTAGTGATTACGATAACGTAAAAAAAAAAAATTCGTTGAATTGTTGTGAAAATTCAACTTCATCGCAAGCGGTCACATATAAACGCTCGATCCGATACGAGATCTGCCATGTTTGTTCAAACATCTTTCTAGTCTCATGAAACTGTTTTGTTGACCTGATAGGTCCAGTCGCTAATTAACCAATCGAAACGCTGGATGGTGCCAATGTGATTACCATAGCTCATTTAAATATGTTAATGTAGTTCAGCGACCTCGTGGTAAATGAAATGCGGAAGAGATTTACCGTTGTTGTGGTGCGATCGTTTGGCTTTGATTTTGATGGGAAAACGGCATGATTTTTTTTTAAATCAAGAAATTAGTTGTTTTCAAAAGATAAGCTGAGCATTGAAGAAGAATTTAACACTTTTGACGATAATAACAGCTCATTGTCGAAACGCAGTTTACCCAGTCACGCTACCCACAATAAACCTGTACTCTTGAATAAGCGTCAATGACTACGGAAAACCTTTAATAATTAGACTCTAATCTGAGCTTCAGGAAACATTAAAATGTTCGAAATTTTTTTTTCTTTTTGAAATATGTGGTGGCTGTTTGGTTTGCGAAAGTTTGGGGTGTGGCTTATATTGCAGACTTTTTCCTGGGATCAAAACTTGTCAATTTCAACATGAAACAATGTCTCAAGTTAGGGGTGCGGCTTCTATTAAAGCTGCGGCCTCAAATATGATTTTTACGGTACATACTGTAGATGCTCTGAACTAATGCACAGATTTGATTAGTTTTAGGTAAAAATCTGTGCATATTAATTAGCTAATTTATTAATTAATCTGTACATATTAATTACCTAATTTGCATAATTTAATCAATTTTAAGCTTTCACACTGATATGTGCAAACCTGATTAGTTTTGGGTCAAAATCTATTATTTCCATAATTAGCATAATAATTTATTGGTTCTAATCACATTTCAATGAAACTTGGTATATAGATGGTCTCTCAGCACACAAGAGTTCTTTCTAAGCTTTCTTTGATCTTTTATTGAAAGGTTCAGCATCATCATCAACTGAAGTGACTCTCCTAGGAGTTGGATTCAGTCAGACTGCAGATGACAATAAAGTCACCATTGGTGGTGTGAACTGTGCCGTTACAAATGCTTTAGACACAACGATTATATGCCTGATTGGTGAAGCTCCTGGTGGTACTCAAGATGTAGTAGTGTATGTTGCACCAGATGGTTTAGCCACTCACCCCAGTGGCACTGTGCAATTCCAGTATGAAGTGGGAATAACTGATGTCAATCCATCTAGTGGCAGTACTGGGGGTAAGTCTTTATCCATGTCTACACTCGATTAAGAAGGAATTTAGTGGTGTATATTGCACAAGGTTGTTCAGCCACTCACTCTAGTGGCACTGGTAATTTGGCATTTGGTAACGCAATGCTGAAGTAAATTATCGATGTTGAAGTACGATCTGTTTGAATTGATTTCGGAGAAAAAAAACTACCAAAATAATTGTAATTAATGATTTTTGAAATTTAAACTTGAATATGGAATGAAGTATTTATCATGCAAGCTTCATTGTTGAAGCATAGTTTACACACAGTTATCATGGTCTACACATTCACACGTTTTTTATGGCATGGCAAATTTGATTACCGGTATTCAGAAAAGTCAAATAATGTTCAAAGACCAGGTTTTATGACTAGACAGTCAAATTTGGAGCATTTTGGAAAGGATGGGCACTTAACCAAACGTGAACCAGAAAATGAAAAATGGCCCAAATGTGGGTGGGCTCTTGGTCGAGTATGCTGTATCATGTTTCTATATGTAAATTTCCAATTCTTCCAATTTATTTTTTGGGTTGTACTACTATCGTAAGGAGTGACGAATGGCCATGGATTTTTAAAAACACCTAATAGTGTGATAATTCTGAAAACATGACAGAAACATTGCATCGTATTTCAAAATTGTGTTTGGTGACCTATGCAAAAATGATATGTAGTGTTATGAGAGCTACATGTTGTACATATGGCTGTCATGAAAAATGGGAGAATTCTGAATATTAGTATATGTTATCCATGGAATAATGTGTTTACATGGATTCCTATGGGAAATGTTTTTGGCTTATTTTGCATATGTTTTCTTGAAAACACATTCTTATTTCTCTGTAAAAACTTTAATTATGAATGACTTGCAAGTAAAATGAACCATCACAGTACAATTTTTGAATGATTTACCTTGATAAATTTTTTTATGGTGTTAAACTTTTAATATACCCTCTGTATTGGCTTTATAATTCATAATTGTTTGTCAAATTGTCGTTTTTCAGGAGGCTTGGAGATTACAATTACAGGTTATGGATATTCAAATAATGTTGATGATTTAACAGTACTCATTGGTGGTGCACTCTGTGATGTGACATCATCAAGTCAAAATACCATAATATGTATATTACCAGCTGGGGTAAGTTTCACATTTATTGATATCCCTTTATAAGACATAGTTGTTGGAATTCAAGATTCATCCCAGTTTGTAGTCGGTTAATCAAATTTTGTTTTTGTTTTCTTCATTTTTAGTTATATGATGCTAGTTTACAATATTATCTATTTCTTTTGGCCAGATCTTCTCGCTTTCACATTCAGACAAAAATTTGTCAGCAAAAAAAAAAAGAAAAAACTAAACATAAATAACCAAAACTATACTGGGTAACTAATTCAATAACAATTTTAAAATGATAATATAAGATCGTACTTTAATCATATTGATAAATCTTAAACATTCTTGTATAATAGGTTGCAGGCAGTGTTGATCTGAGCGTCAGTATTAGTGATGTATCAGCTACCAGTGTGAATGGTTTTCAATACGATGCCAGTACTACTCCATCTATTACACAATTGAGTATCACCCAGAGTAGTGTTGCAGGTAAGTGTTGCATTAATATTAGCAACCACATCAAATTTGCTGAAAATAAAACCTTTTTTGCAAGTTATATTTAGACCCTATTTTTTATAGTTTTAACAAAAGAAGACAATGCTTCAGTCTTTAAAAAGCTATCTTTTGATGTATTCAATCAAATACTGTAGCATAATGTTTGACCAACTATTATCAGAATCATCCCTAGTTCAAATCTTGCCTTTGATTGTCTGCAAAAAATGAGCACCCAAATGAGTGACTACTATGTAGGTGGAAGCGAGGTGAGGGAGGGAAAGGGATGTGAGGGGAGAAGACATAGAAAAGATGAAAAGAAATACAAGATATAGTCGGAGATGAATATAGCAATGTGGAGGGTATTGAAGAGGAGGAGGGTTAACATTTACGATACTGTATTTCTAAGGTGGTGCAACATTGGTTGTGAGTGGTACAGGATTTGGTACAGATGAGTCAAGTAGTGATGCTCTGAAGATTGGTGATGTTCCATGTCAGCTGATATCCTATTCTGATAACACAATAGAGTGCATATTACCAGCCCAATCACCTGGTGTATATGATGTCAGACTTTATGTTGATAATGTAGGATATGCAGATTCTAGGTAGGTTAACAGTAAACAATAGTGAATGGACCAATCTGGCATATGTGGCTAGATAAAAACATCAGACCTTTTGAAACTGAGTTTGTGTATTATACTTACACCATTAGAGATTTGATTCAGATTTCATGCTGACAATTGCACAAACAAATATTAGTTATGATTGTGCTAGTAGTGTGCATTTGAAAATTCATAGCATTAGTCCAATTCATGCATAAAGTATGCCCTCTATGGCAAAAAAGTGCCATTCTGACTTTCAGCAAGTAGTATTGGGGTAGTAAGTTAACAAACTCACTTGTGAATTGACTGACAGATTGAGATTGGCTTTTCAGTTTGTTGAGAACATTTGTAGACTTGGCAGCCCTCAACTTAACATGTAATAACATAAATAATAGTTTTTGACTCCTGTGTGCGAAGCACAAAGGGGAATCTTTGCAGTTACCATGTCTGTATGTATGTATGTATGTCTGTATGTATGTATGTATGTATGTATGTATGTATGTATGTACCGTAAAAATCCGCAAATAAGCGCCACCCTCAATTAAGAGCCACTCAGTGAAAATTTGTTACATTTGACCCTCCATTAAGAGCCACCAAGAGTTGAGTGGTTTTGTCAATAAGAA